CTTTCTTCCCTCCCTCCCCACTCTTAATCCTCTCTCTGCCTAGTCTCTTCGGATTTGCGTTGTCTAGGCACTGTGTGTCGATCCACCCATCAGCTAGAGGGAGAATGCTGAGGTTATGAACCAGGGGTCCTGGTTTGCCGTTGCGCTCAAGGCTCCTCCAAGCGCACCTCGATTACCATCAACACACCACGCGGTCTCGACGCCTTTCCCCAGGCTGTCAACCTATTCCAACCACCAAGCTCGTTGAGGCATGATACACCGGGGCGCTTCTTTCTCTGTTTAGATATCTTCTCTATTTCCTTTTTGCCATTTCATTCTTGTCTTATTTTTCTCTTTCTTACGTGCTTATAAATTATCGCCCGTGGAGGACCTCTTTTTTCTTTTTCCCCTCCCAAACCCGCCCTCTTCTCCTTTTCTCCATCTCCACGACTTGGAACGATCTTTTTCATTGCGACAAACGGCACGCTCGCTACGACCGGATTTGATACCCTACCTGTACTGAGACGAATTCCTCCGCCTTCCACTCCCCCCCTGAACTCCTCGAGTCGCACCTACCAGATTGACCCGTGTCGCTATACGAAAGCCCAAGTCATTGCGATTACGAGCGCGAGGAGCAACAAGGCGCCATGGCTGACTTAGGGGGCCAGCAAGGCCGGAATTACCGGCCTTACGGACACCCTTCTGCCTTTCAACGTGATGCTGCATACTCCGAGATCTTTGGCGGTGCTCCGCCACCGGGACGCTCGCAGACGATGACATCCCAGACTCCCCAGTTCTCTCAGGATCGAGCTCACACGATGTCATCACACGTCCCACATCCACAGATGCATCGAGGTCCGCCACCGCCCGCACGCCAGATGCAGAATGGATATTCATCAGGGGCTCCCAACGGATACTACCAAGCCTACTCCGGCAGCGTAGCACCTCCAGCTTTCCAGCAGTCTTCACAGCACCCCGCACGGCCCTACCCCGGACGCTCCGCTTATCCGCAGCCCCAACGGTTGGATTCTCGACCGAACACGGGACCACAATACCCAGACCCAAAGGGCTACACTAGGACAATGCCGGCCCATCCCGCCCTGAACTCGGACTCGAACCGGTCACGGTCAATGGCGAAGATGGGTGGTCCCCCAATGTATCAACCCTCTTTGAGCAGCTTCAATCACACTTCTGCCAATGCAATTCGTCAGCAGCAGTATACCGCGGCGGCTCCGATGACAGCTCAAGGGCGACCCGTCCCTGAAAGGAATCCGAACGAGCGCGCCATGTCGTTGACCACGTACCCGACGGATCGAGATCACGCCTACACGACAAGCACAGGGCGAGTAATTCCACCCAGGAGGCAACCATCCGGACCCCCTAGCCAGGCCCCAGTCAATGGCTACCCACCTGAGCCACCCAGCGCCCAGAATGTTAACGGTAGGCCTCGCCCACCCAGCGATGAGTCCACAAACTCGCGCTCCATGTCGATGGCATCAACCGTCGTGCCGGATCGAACGATGAGCATGCAGAGTACTGTGGCTGGGAAGCCAAGCAATCAGCCCGGTCTTGCGCAAAGCAACTCGCGTCGCAGTAAGGTTCCGTTGGTGTATCCAGCTCTGCTCTCGCGTGTTGCCGATGTTTTCCGTGAGCGAATTACACTCTCAGAACTACAAAAGAATGGACTGTCATATCAAAACGCATTTACCGGTGCCCACGCAGTGGATCTAATTGCACACATCATTAAGACCAATGATCGGAATCTGGCTCTGCTGTTGGGCCGCGCGCTGGATGCGCAGAAGTTTTTCCACGATGTGACGTACGACCATCGCCTCCGAGATGCGCAGGGCGAAATTTACCAATTCAAAGAGACAATGGGAGAAGAGGCGCCAAGCTCGGAGGTCAATGGTGTATTCACACTGCTCAGTGAGTGCTATTCGCCGACGTGTACGCGGGATAGCCTGTGCTATTCCATCGCCTGCCCCAGAAGGCTCGAACAGCAGGCTAGGCTGAATCTGAAGCCGCAGCCTGGGCTACGATCGTCTGCTTCGAAGGGCAGTCTGCACGGCGATGACGATGACAACGACAATCAGAAACTCTGGATCAATATGGTTCCTAAGGAGGTATCAGACAGTATTGACGATCGCGAAAAGAAACGTCAGGAGATCATCTTTGAGATCATGTACACAGAGCGTGACTTTGTCAAGGATTTGGAGTATCTGCGAGACTTCTGGATGAGGCCCTTGCGGGCCGCGGGCAATGCCACTACCTCGCCTATTCCCGAGCATCGGCGTGAGAAATTCATCCGGACGGTCTTTGGCAATTGCTTGGAGGTCCTGAAGGTCAACGGTGGATTGTGCGAGGCCTTAAATGCTCGACAGAAGGAAAGCCATGTTGTCAAGACGGTCGGTGATATTTTCCTTCAGCACGTGCCACGATTCGATCCGTTCATCAAATATGGTGCCAATCAGCTGTACGGCAAATATGAATTCGAAAAGGAGAAAGCGTCGAACCCGGCATTTGCGAGATTCGTAGAGGAAACGGAACGTCTTAAGGAGTCGCGCAAGCTCGAATTGAATGGTTATCTGACCAAGCCGACCACGCGTCTCGCCAGGTATCCACTCCTACTGGAGCAGGTCTTCAAAAACACAGCCGAGGATAGCCCAGACCGCCAAGATATTCCCAAAGCCATTGCTCTGATCAAGGATTTCCTGTCTCGTGTCAACGCAGAGAGTGGTAGGGCTGAGAACCACTTCAACTTGGTGCAGCTCAATGCTGCGCTGAAGTTTGGTCCTGGCGATTACGTGGATTTGAAGTTGACGGAAGAGAACCGGCAGATGTTGTCGAAGATGGCGTTCAAGAAAACTCCAACAGACAGCTCCGAGGTTACCGCATATCTCTTCGATCACGCAGTTCTCTTGGTCAGAATCAAGGTTGTCAACAAGCGTGAGGAGTACCGCGTATATCGGAAACCTATTCCGCTAGAGCTGTTGGTCATTGCCCAGATGGATGAGGTAATACCCAAGGTGGGAATTCCCAAACGGCCGTCGTCCAGTCTTCTCTCCAACAAGGCTGCAGCAAATCCTCCCACTACTAAGGATGGTCTTCCTATCACTTTCAGGCATCTTGGCAAGGGCGGTTATGAGCAGACGTTGTACGCTACATCAACCACTCAGCGCCGGAAATTCATCGAATTGGTAGAAGAGCAGCAGCGGAAGCTCAGGGAGCGCAACAGCAACTTCTACAATAAGACAGTTCTCTGTGAGAACTTCTTCACATCTGTCAACCGTGTTAACTGCCTTGTTCCAATTGGTATGTTCTATCTTGTCTCAGCCAAAAATCCCATTCTCTATATGCTAACCGCGCTTCGCTTTGATGCAGACGGAGGTCGAAAATTGGTCTACGGTACGGACAGCGGTATCTATCTCTCCGAACGTTGGCCGAAGGACAAGTCAGCAAAACCTCGGCGGGTTCTTGATGTCAGTCAGGTCACTCAGATAGATACATTGGAGGAGTATCAACTGCTTTTGGTTCTGTCGAACAAGACACTATCCTCTTACCCCATGGATGCGCTCGAGATTCATGAAGGCCAGAACACTATTGCGAAGCGACCTAAGAAGATTCAAGGTCACGCGAACTTCTTCAAGGCCGGTATTGGACTCGGACGTCATCTGGTGTGCTCCGTCAAAACCTCCGCTTTGTCGACCACCATCAAGGTTTATGAGCCTATGGATAATCTGGCGAAGGGTAAGAAGAAGTCGGCTGTCAGCAAGATGTTCCAGAGTGGACAGGACACACTGAAGCTCTTCAAGGTTCGTGCCCTTCAGACTTTCTTGTCATCCCGGACTTGGCAGCTAACCTTGCGTTTCACAGGAATTCTACATCCCTGCGGAGTCTTCCTCGATCCATTTCCTTCGCTCAACACTCTGTGTGGGCTGTGCCCGAGGCTTTGAGGTTGTCAGTCTCGAAACCACCGAAACACAGTCTCTGCTCGATCAGGCGGATACATCTCTTGACTTCGTTGCACGCAAGGAGAATGTGAAGCCGATCCACATTGAACGCTTGAACGGCGAATTCCTCTTGAACTACAGCGACTTCTCATTCTTCGTCAACCGCAACGGATGGCGTGCCCGTTCCGACTGGAGAATCTCCTGGGAGGGTAATCCGAACGCATTTGCACTTTCTTTGCCTTATATTCTCGCTTTCGAGCCCAATTTCATCGAAATCCGTCACATTGAAACGAGCGAGCTGGTGCATATCATGACTGGAAAGAACATTCGCATGTTGCATTCGTCGACCCGAGAAGTAAGTCGAGCCTCCGGCAGTCACTTGATTCGAGCAGTTGCTTACCTTGTCACAGATTCTTTATGCCTATGAAGATGAATCAGGAGAGGATGTGGTCGCCAGCTTGGATTTCTGGAACAAGCCACAACACTGAGTCATCAATCAGTAAAAACCACTCAAACGGGTGGAAGTGAAGAAGAAGATGCGAGGAGAGACAATGTCATGTTCTATATTCGTCCCAAGTGTCACTTCTTTTGCTGCGCTTAGAAAGGCCTTTGTTTTTACTATTCCGGTCGGCTCAAAAAACGGCGAGGGCATACATTCATCCATCTGCGTTACTAACCTTGAACACATTCCCCCCCCCCCCTTCAGAATCTCTTGCTGCCCTTGACTCTCAGGAGGTCTAGTGCCAAAGATTCTTTCTCAATTTTGTTTTTTTCTCCTTTCCTTCCTCTAATACCTCTCCATGTCAATTCATCTCCATCTACCCTGTCTTTGTACCCAACCCCATGGTCGATTTGGCGTACCCCCATCCGACCCCGCAAATTCTCTCCCCGACTTGTGTACAATGAAGCGCAAATACCACCTGTTCCTTTTATCCCCAATTTTTCTCATTCTTCTCGCACCATTTTTTTTTTCTTCTCTTCTCTTTCTATCATCTCATCTATCTTATCCATCTTAGTCAAGAACTTCATGCTTCTTGTTCATCCTTATGTGGTCCTACTCGCTGTGATCCGGGGGAGTCGTCACGTAGCTCTCTTCCTCGCGGCTTCCGATTTCCTCAACGCGCGTAAGCTCGCCTATAGAGCCAGGGTCCTTTCATGAACCTTGAACCAGTCGTAAGCTTCTTCTCCGAGAAAGAGCAAAAGATAGCCTTCTAAGCACCAGCCTTGAACCTAGACCAATTGTACTCACTCCCTTATTGCCGCGCAGTGACAGAGGTATATATTTGAAGGCTCAACCCTCCCGGGCCCGCTGACTGAGTTAGCACTTCCGCCTCCGCTCCGCTTGCCGAAGTAAGCATTGATCTAGTACTGTACTGTACACCACGCACCCACCCACTCAACAACATAATATATTGTATTCCCCAACTTCATGCTCCCGTATCACGTCGATGCACTAGGATCAATCCCTGATCCACGCTCATAAACAGTGGAAGTGTTCATATCTACCATGGCGACACACTACCCATAAAATTGGGACGAATGGGCAGTGATCGCAATGGAAAAAGCAGACCGCAACAAGTATTTTATGGACTGTACAGTCAGTACTTACCTTCGGTCCCGTGACGCTTCCCTACACCCGATTTCGTTGTTACGAGCCCCTCCGGATTGTGTTGGCAGGTGATGTCGAACTCCTGTTCGATCCATCGAACGGAATTTGCTTTGAACTAGAAGAAGTGGCATGGTAGGTGATGGCGAGAGGTACATCTACGATCTATGGCCACAACTTGGGGTGAAGATCTACGGCACACAATTCGTACCTTACCAAGCCCTGGACATAATGCATTGGGGTGGAGAGGACATGGAAGAGTAAGGGCACGCATAAATTTAGGAAAAGAACCCACGAGTTTGGTTTGTTGGGTTGGTTGGTTGGTTGGTTGGTTGGTTGGTTGGTTGGATAGTTGTTTTTGCTTGTTGCACACACACACTCACTCACATACAAATAACTCAAATATAACGACAAAATATAATAAGCTAAGAAAAAGGGGAAATAGAACAAGAGAAACTACCGGACAAAAGAGGGAATCTTGCTGCGCGCTGCTGACACTGGGACAGGGTTTCATGTGAGGGGAGGGGGAGTAGAAAGGAAGAAAAGAAAAGAGTAATGATCAAAAGGAACGAGAAAAACCAGGGACAACACAAGCAATGTTAAGAATTTGAAACTTTATGCAGATGCTTTCCTCGGTGATAACTGTGAGTGATTAAAAATGATGCTATTCTTCTGACTCCAAACATCTTGCAGCACAACGGGGTTAGATGATTGATGGCTTTCGAAAGACGATGTGAAGTTGGAAGGTTGGAAGATTGCAGCCGAAAATATGTCCGTTCCTTTGCCCTTCTTCTCTGTTCTTTTCTGTCTGGGATGATTCCCAGAGGGGTGGTTGGTGGCGGTGGGAAGGATAAAAGAGAGGGGAAAAAAAGCCAGACAGGATTTGTTGTTCCCAGTCATCGTCGTACTAAAACGGAACGTTGCATTTGCCCTCCCCTTTCCCTTGCAGTTCAAAAGAAAAATCAGGAAAGCAAAAGAGAAAAAAAAGAAGAGAAAAAGCTATTAACGTGAATAAGCGGCCGACTAATCTTAACCCCGTAGACAGTTACGACTGCCGCGCCACGGTTCTCATTACAAAGGCACATACGGTGTCGGATGTCAATCATGTGGAAACCGTTTTCCATGAGTCCCAGGGATTTCGACGGTATTCGTTTAGGCATCTCCGTTGGTGACATCGACCTGGCTCTGGCTGGCCTCTCGTGCCATGCGGGCCTCGATTTCCCTCAGCTGGCTTTCGCGAGCCAACAGTTCCTGGCGCTTCTCAGCAATCTCACGCTGCACCTTCAGCTCGATCTCACGGAGCTTCTCCTCCTCGCGGCGGAGCTGCTCCTCCTTCAACCTGACGGACTGGGAGGCCAGATCCTCGGGGTTCATGGACGAGTCTTGTGTACTGTTGCGAAGCTATTAGTCGGCGAACGGATAGCACGAATGATGTCAAGGCTAGGAATACGTACGGAGTAGCACCGTCCACGCTCTTGCTGAGCTTCTCGGTACGGTAGTTTTCGTAGAGGAAATCGTGGGTGATCTCCTTCAGATCGGCCAAGTGGCTGTGGAGAAGGGCGCTGCGAATGGCCAGGAAGTCGGAGTGACGAGGATTTTCGACCTCTACAACACCCCAGGGATATTGCCTGGCACGCACCTTCTTGCCATCGATCTCAATCAACTCGTCGGAACCAACAATAGCGAATGGCATGAGACCCCGCAGCTCGGCATTCTCCTCCACGGTATCTTCGTCGTCTTCCTCGATGTCGTAGGGGAAGTTGTAAACAGGGATGCGGTAGTGCTCGATATCCTCCATGATCAGCTTCTTCGATTCGGCCAATTCGGCGGGGGTGAGGGAGTCGGCCTTGCCGATGACGGGGATGACGTTGACACGGGGCGACAGGCGCTTCATCAACTCGATGTCGAGCTCACGGAGACCGTGACCGGTGGGTGTGATGAAGTAAAGGAGGACATGGACACGGTTGTCCCTGAAGCGGGGGTTACGCTTGATCCGAGACTCCTCGGCAAGAATATCATCGTATTGGCGCTCGAGGTATCCAACAATTTCCCCGAAGCTGCGAAACGGTCAGTCGTGCACTGAGAGTGGTATTGTTTGGAGCCAGGGCCACCTGCCTTGCTTCGTTGTCAATCTGATCGCCAAAACCGGGGGTATCGACAATGGTGAGGGAGATGCGGGTGCCTTCGTCGTCCAATTCGAGTTCTGTCGAGCTGTGCATTAGCTCCAGCGTTGAAACACTTAGTGTGGTAGCCTACTCACCGACTGTGACAGGCTTGATGCGGACACCCTCCTCAATGTGAGCGTTGGCAGCGTCGTCGGCGTCCTTTCCTTCCAGGACCTTCTTTCCGCAGAGAGTGTTGACGAAGGTAGTGCGTCCTAGGGATATCGAAACGGCTGGTCAATTTCTGGGACTGGAGAGCGTGACTGCGCAGGTTGCAAACATACCGGTTCCGCTGGCACCACAGACCATCAGACAGAACTGGATACCCTTCTTGACGTTTTTCTTGCGACGGAGCTTGGGCTTGAAGTTAGAGGCGAATTAACCACAGTTGAGACTCAGAGCAGAGTTGAAGCAGTTGACACAATTGAAAATACCTGTGACCCCCCAGGCATTGGAAGAGCGTGGTGGTGGTGGTAGTGGTGGGGGTGAGGCAATTCGAGCGGCCGGCATAGAAAGGGGAAGGATAACAACTTACCGCGCTGAATGAGGAAGACATGGTGGGCTAAAGAAGGGAGGTGGGTGGGTG